CAGCAGATCAACACTTCCCCCCAGCTTGGTTGTCACATTTGTACCATGCTAACAACAATAATGCTAGCTAGGATTGTGGTGGGCAGGCAGCAGTGAAGCTGTCGGGCCGGTCTGTGCCTGGGCCGGAGCCGCTTCTCGGGAAGCTCCACAATCTCCGTAGGGATCAACTTGAGGGGAATTAATTTGCTGCCGGTGCTGACTTTACCTCCAACACCTGCGCCTTAAATGGGCATCTCTGCGGCGCGGGTCGGGCGCGCTGCTGCTGCTGCTGGGTGTGATGTGGTGTTTTCCTCACCGCTCCTCGCCCGCTGACTCTGGAGGTGGCTTTAGGCAGGGGAATGAGCTCATCGGCGCCGGTCGTGTCAGCGCTTGAACGCAGCGGGCTGAGACCGGCTCTGTCGACACAGCTGGTTCCTGGGGCAGGCGTTGCCGTGGGCCGAGGGGGGTCGGGGAAGAGGGGAGGAGGCTGCTGGTGCTGGCGGTGTCGGCCCCTTTTCACTGGTGGCTTCTTCGCAGGACGACGACACCTGCGAGGAGTGGGAGCGCCACGAGGCTCTGCACGAGGACGTGACCAAGCAGGACCGCACGGAGGAGCGGCTCTTTGAGGAGGAGATTGAGCTGAAGTGGGAGAAGGGCGGCTCCGGCCTTGTCTTCTACACGGATGCTCAGTACTGGCAGGAAGAGAGAGAACGGAGGTAACGCTGAGGGTTGTGTCTTTAAGTCCCAAACTACCCACCACGAGCCGGGGGGCCCAGCCCAGCAGGTAAATCAGTTAAAACCCCATGTGAGCATTCTGTAACCCCAAAATCGTTCACTTCTTCAACCTCTTCTGGATCACAGAACCTGCAGTTCCGTCACCAGAGACCCCAGTGTTCCCACAAGCAGCCCGTCGTGCAAGCGCTGTGGTTTGCAGAGTCTCTGACGCCCTTTCATTCCCGTTTTTGTAGAGAAAAGAGGGGGCTGGGCCACCAGTAAACAGCTTTTCTGTGTCAGACTTCCCCAACCATCACCAAAACTGCTGCTTTCCTTCTCTCGGCAGACTTCGACGAGCAGACTGCGGACGACTGGGATGTGGACATGAGCATCTACTATGACAAAGGTATCTGAGCTGAACCCCCAGGAAAAGGGGAAGCTGGGACATTGTGACCCTGCAGAATTCCTGCAGCGGGGAGCTCTTTGGCTCTGTCATCTTTTGGAAGCGTCCAAGACGTCAGTGTACTTGAAACGAGGTTTTTCTTGCCTGGCAATGAGAGTTGCCAAAAGAGAACAGGTTCTGCCTCCTTGCGTGGTGCTCTGGGGGAAATAAGGGTGACGAACAGCTTTCCTGAGCTGGGCTGCTCCTTTCTCCCTAGATGGAGGTGATAAGGATGCTCGGGACTCGGTCCGGATGTGGCTGGAACAGCGACTCCGGGACGGCTTGGAGGATGGCTCTGCTTCAGGGCAGCAGATTGGCACCTTCGAGAGACACACCAAGGTGAGCTCAGGAGAGGACGGGGCAGGGCAGGGACGGCCGTGGTGGCCATGCTCAGGTGTGGGTTAGGAGGAGGAGATGTCTGGGATGTGGGGAGGGGGCAGAGGGTTCTGGGAAGATGAGGATGGGCTTTGCCCAGCAACTCCTTAATGTTTTTTCCCCTCTCCCAGGGCTTTGGCAGGAAGGTGCTGGAGCAGCAGGGCTGGACGGAGGGGCTGGGGCTGGGAAGCAGCAACTCTGGCATGGCCGAAGCTTTGGACAACGAGGGTCAGAACCCCCGATGCAAGAGGGGCCTGGGGTAAGTACCCAACCCTGCCCTGCCCGCCAGTGTTCAGAGCCTCTGCCCTGGCTCTGGGCTGACACAGCAGCTTACTGCCTGCTCTACTCTGCCCTGGTGAGACCGCATCTGGAATATTGTGTCCAGTTCTGGGCCCCTCAGTTCAAGAAGGACAGGGAACTGCTGGAGAGAGTCCAGCGTAGGGCTACAAAGATGATGGAGGGAGTGGAGCATCTCCCTTCTGAGGAGCGGCTGAGGGAGCTGGGGCTCTTTAGTTTGCAGAAGAGGAGACTGAGGGGAGACCTCATTCATGGTTATAAATATTTAAAGGGTGAGCGTCACGAGGATGGAGCCAGGCTCTTCTCGGTGACAAACAATGATAGGACAAGGGGTAACGGACACAAACTGGAACACAGGAGGTTCCACTTCAATTGGAGAAGAAACTTCTTCTCAGTGAGGGTGACAGAGCCCTGGCCCAGGCTGCCCAGAGAGGTTGTGGAGTCTCCTTCTCTGCAGACATTCAAAACCCGCCTGGACGCCTTCCTGTGTAACCTCATCTGGTGTTCCTGCTCCGGCAGGGGGATTGGACTGGATGAGCTTTGGAGGTCCCTTCCAATCCCTGACGTTCTGTGATTCTGTGAAAAGGAGCAGAGTGTGACCCAGAAGTGTAAGGCTGTCCCAGGGATCTGCCTTTCCCTGGCAGGACCTGCACTCCGGAGCTAAATACACCCCTCTTCTTGATGGCCCAGTGCTCTTTAGAGGAGCTGATGGGGTTAGAGTGGAGCTGCAACCATTCATGCAGTGCACAAACACAGCAGGAGAGCAGCGTTTGAGGATCAAGGGATGTTCTGGTGGGGAGAGCCCGGGTGAGCTGTGTTATAGCTGCGCACCTCACCCCTGCCTTCTCTGGGGGGTTTCTGGAGGCTTTGCATGGTGCTGTGTTTCGCTGCAAAGGCTGGCTCTTGTTCTAGAGCAGTCTTGCAGTCAGAAATAAGGCAGGAATCTGTAATGCCTTGTTTTGGTCCCCTTTTACCCTGCAGTGTGTGAAGGAAACGAGCTGGGACGCACAGGAGTGTCCTGCTGCCTCAGCAATGCTGGACCAAACGTTTCCTGCTTCCCTCTAGGTACCACGGGGAGAAACTGCCGACTTTCAGCAAGGTGAAAAAGCCCCGGCGAGACGCTCCCATCCTCATCTCCACCATCTACGACGACCCTGACCCCAAGGACAGTGGTGACCAACTGCTCAGGCGCCAGCCCCCCACTGCCATGAAGTACAGGCAGGACATGGTGTTTGTCCGGGCGTCACACGGTGCTCTGCAGAGCTCCGGTTCCCAGGCACGCTGAGCACAGACTGAGCCTTTGGACTGGTTCTGCTCCTGTTGAGCACAGGCTGGCTCCTGGTCTCGGGTTTGGAGCAGGGTGTTCATATAATTATTTTTGAAAGAAATAGAGATTTGTTACAAAAATTGCTTCCGTGGTTTTTTTTTCTCCTGATTGAACTGTTCAAATGAGGGGGAAATGGTGCTGTCCTGTTCAGTGGGAACATGGAAGGGTGTTGTGTTTCTGACTGGCTGTTTTAAAGCTGATACTGCTGTCTGGATCAACCAAGCTTGTGTGCTAGGTCAGCCTAAAAAACCAGAATTTGTAGTTCGTGACTGCCTGTGACCCAGGGAAGGACAAGTACAGGCAGGGCCAGCTGTGGCACGGTAACTGTCCTGCTG